ATGTGTGCTCCTTATATTTTTTTTTTTTCTTCATTCAGTTTTGGTCACATGACCCCACCAACGGCACATATACCATTCCTGAAAAAGAATTAACATAAACAACAAAACTCTGATCAGTTTTTCACACTTGACAAACATTTTTTTTTTTTTTTTTTTTTAACAAAAAGAAAAGAATACTGGACAATCTTTTGTCCATTCTTTGTTGCTAGCTTCCCTGACCCATACAAATTACTTCAACAGTGGACTTTGACCTCTACCCTGATCAGCAGGTACCACCTCTGCAATCTGAGGGAAAATAAAATTTCTTGCCTCTTCACTTGAGACTACACGAAATATACATACAATTCACAGGAAAAAATACTGGTCCAAAAATGACACAATACATGCTGAAAGCCCCACAGCATAGTATCAACCAATTCTATAAATGAGCCACCTAAATTTTACACTTTAAATATATTATGATCTATACTTATTTCCCACTCACAGTGATACAGTACAATCCCTTATCACCCTATTTATTCAACTAATTAATTACTTTGTTATTTGCATATTACCAGATTTACTTTAATAAATCTTCACAAATTTACCACCATTAATTTTCTATAATTACTATTATTAATCATCTGTCTCTGTGTGTCAAAACTCAACTCGCATAATCTTAATTCCTTCTGCCCTTGGCTCCTCACACAAGGAAAACAACCACACCTGCTTTACCATTGTTACAAGGAGTTTCTTCCCTTAGTTGGTATTGCAACCTGGTATCCCACAATCACCTGACCAATTCCTTTTGGTCATCAGAGCCATTTCTTGGCTCCAGGGAGTATCCTAGGGTATATTCCTCCTCTATGAATACTTCACAGCTTACAGCTCCCATTCACTCCCAACATTGTCCAGTTTCCCTATCTACATAGCCAGGTTTGACAATACCACCCACCCAGGATACAGACCCTAACACATTCAAAAATCCGAAACTTTGCAAGCCAAATCTATCTATCTATCTTATTCCCACAACAATTAACTTAATTTTTCCACAAAAAATTAACTGACAAAATTTACTAATTAACAACTTAATTCTTCAACAAATGAAAACAAAAGAACACACACGCACACACACACACAGCTCTTAAATTAAAAAAAAAAAAAGAATTCCACACACTATTACAAAAATGAACAAAACAAACTTTTGTCAGTTAATTATGATTAACAAAATAGTTCTAAACTTTTGTAAAAAGATAAAACAACAAAAATCAGTCTCTAACTAAAATGTTTCACCAAAATTGACATTGTCACATCAGTGTCTATGCGTGAGCATGAATGTTCACTGTTTATACTATGTCCTTTATTTCTTTCTTTTTTTTTTTCCTATTCGTCTTTTTTTCATAACTTTTTTTCGTGTCTATCCATCAAAACCTGTTCACTCACACATACAACAAAACAAGTCCACTTACACTTTTTACTTTTTTTTTTTTAGATTTGTTTTCATCATTACTTCTTTTGGTTTGTTGTTTAGATGTTTATATGTATGTGTGAGATCAGTAGAATTTTTAAGGGTGATTTTTGACATTTAAAGGTTGTCTTATATGTGGAGATATACAGTATATATATATATATATATATATATATATATATATATATATACATACATACATACACTGCGTGCCAAATTATTATCGAGATAACTTTTTTCTAATATTTCAAAAACCGTCCAATCAATTCACACAAAATTACTGCATTACAGCAGATGACATCCTACAATTAAATTCTATGGATCGTCAACTTCTTCAAGTAATTTCAAAACAGGGAAAGCACATTCCCTATTAATTTGTTTAAAACTGTGCTTTGCTTGTATCTGTTATTATTTGTTTGATTATCTTATTTATTAGCTTCTTTTGATCCTAAACATTCACGTGCAACATTAATAAACGTTTTGTTTGTTCAATTCTGGGAATTTTACTAAACCTTTCTAATAATTTGGCACACCCAAATCATCGTGCTGATAACAAATATGGCACCAGTTTGTTTACATTGCACAGATCAGTACGAAAATTTCAGTGATCTCGCAGGTCAATGTTGCCAACATCATGTGAAAATTTTGTGTGAATTGATTGAACGTTTTTTGAAATAGAAAAAAAGTTATCTTGATAATAATTTGGCATGCAGTGTGTGTGTGTATATATATATATATATATATATATATATATATATATATTGATCAAAGTCATATACTCAGATGGTTTACTTTCTTCTAATTGAAATACGTCTTTAGTCTTGCCCATAGTTTTTACACTATAGTTTGATTCTTACATGGAATTTGAAATCAACCATGTCAGGAGTTATAAAGGCTATAAAAAAAATATGAAATAATTTCATTAAAAGGAAAGTTAACTTAAATCTGGCCATGGAATTCCTTTTTAATTTATTGGAATATTGCAATGCAAGTCAAGCATTCAGTTCTCCATGAATATAATCACCTCTTTTGTTATTGCTTCTTCATTCTTAGATGCAGGTATTGCAGAAACGATTGGGTGTTGTTGTCACAAAGCCTTCTAAAACTAATTTGGTTCTGACCTCCTCAACAAGCAGCAGCGGTGGCGGCGGCATTACCAACAGCAGTAGCTCAAGTAGTGCAGCCAGATTGTTATTGCAGCAGGATGACCACCAGGACGATGACCAAAGTCCTTGGATGAAAGAAGCTGATGAAGAGGAGGAGGAAGAGGAAATTTACTCTGGACCCAAGTCCAATGTCAGCTTGCTTGATCAACATAGTGAACTTAAAAAAAAGGCAGAAGGTATGTGTTACACCAAACATTGTTTTTTGTTCTTTGCCAATGGAAAAAAGCAAGATGGATTTCATTTTGACTATCCTATTTTTTCTTTTAAATTCAAAATGTTTTCTTCATTATGATTGTGACTCCTTTTGTGGCAGAATTGTAACAAGTTTTGTGACTACGTCCTCCAATCATCCGTCGTTCACTGCACCTGTGATGACATCCAAGATTGATTGTATTTGCATATATACACCCAACTTGCTATGTGCACAGGTTTGTCTTGTTGGCCACAATTGCTTTCATCTAATAATAATAATGACAGCAAATGCTTTTAAAGACACTGGTTGGGAATTCACAACAATACAATTTCTCCCTTAGCCAGCTATCTTTTCCTTCAACTGAACTGTTATCTCCCCATCTTAGCTGGCCCTTTCTCACTGGCCGCTGGGATCATTGACTCCTGGTTCCTCACTACTGGTCCTTCTGTCAATGGCCGCTGGACAGCTACCAACTCCTCTGGTCACCTAATTACTTCTCTCACGGCTGGACCTCCTTTCCCGACTTCCTGCCTCTCTCTGCTTATAATGATAATATTGGGGTCCCACCCACTTCCATCCACTTGCATTCCATGAGTTTGGAGACCTCCCCAAAGCCACATAGATGGTCAAATCTTCAAAGGACTACTTTTATGACTATCTAAAATCCTTGATAAAATTTTTATGTTTTCCAATTCAAGGGCAGCTGGCACTTAAGTTTACTCAAAGATGGACTGGAGACAAAATTCCTACCAAATTCAGATAACTAAGGGGACTTAAGAGAAAAGAAATTTATCTACTTCTAAATATGTGTGAGAAATCATATTTTTACATGATTGAATAATAAAGATGTTTGCAAACAATTTTTAATCAACCAGACTAGTTATATAAGTAAGAACTTCAAAGGGAATTATAAGTTGCTTTTAAAAGTATCTCAAGTTAGGCTACTAACTTGTTGGTAGCTTTGAATATTACTAAAATTAATATCTGATTTCAAATCACAAGTATTTTAAAAACAAAATTGATTTTTATTTAACCAAAAGTATATTATGAAAAGAATTCCTTAGTAGTAGTGATCTGGTGATAAGTAAAATTTAAAAAGAAATCAACTGTTTTGATTGGGTTGTACATATTGAGGAATAGAGATGGGTGGTTTAACTGAAAAACCAACTTTTTTGGTTTCATCTTCACTGTGAAATCACATCAAAATATTTTATGAAACTGAAATTGTTTGATTTAGTGCTATCACTACTGAGTGACTATATTCAAAGAAACACTATTTAAAAAGACTTTCAGATGTTAATAAAATTAAATTTTATCAACATTTATACCATTGTAAAAGAAAAAGTTTGAGCAAAAATGTTAAAAACATTTAATTGACTAGTTTTAGGAAATAAATATGAAATCTGTTTGTTTACAAAAGAGAAATGAAGAAGGAAAAAAAAGGAAATAAGACAGATATGGCACTTTGAAATCATAGAATGTTTTCAAACAGAAAAAAAGGAAAATATGACATGATGTCTGAAATCTATTTGTTTCAGTTTAAAAAAAAAATTTTGTGGTAAAAATTAAGTTAACAACAAAATAGCGAGTAAAAAAAAAAAAAAAATAGTTGCCAGTTTCATCTTAATGTTAAATTTTATGAAGTCAGATTTTTTTGTCAGGGTAATAATTGTTTTCTAGTAAGAAACCAGTACGCCAATCATGAAATAAAGTTGTTGCAAACAAGAAAAATGAATGAAGATTTTTTTTTATAAATAAATTATAAATAATTTATCTAAGGAATGCACCTAAATTAGATATTAAGAATAATTAAAATAGTTCTTAATTTCACTTTTAAAATGTGTATATTTCCAGATATGTGAGTCTCTAGTGTAAAATTTTTTGTTTTCTACAAATAAAATTGTTTCTATCTAGCGAATACACCTAAAGCCAGATATTAAAAAAATAAAGTAAGTTTTAATCCCAGTTTTAAAATGTGTATATTTTCAAAACTGCAAGTCATTTTTTTTTTTTTTTTAAACTTAAAGTAAAAAATATTCTTTTTTTAGCCACTAGTGTTCGGTGGGTGTTTGTTACTGTTCTGCCTATAAAATTCTTTTAAACAAGCAAAATTAATTCATCTTATTTTTACAAATATCTTTATGGTTTTATCTAGCGAATGCATTTAAGATTATATATTAAAATGATTAAAATAGTTTTTAATTTCAGTTTTAATATGTGTATCTAAAAAAAGAACAGGTGATACTTGCAGATTTGGAAATATACACATTCTAAAAACGAAATTAAAGCTTTTAATATTTAATTTTAGGTGTATTCACTACAAAAACATAAATTTATTTAGTGGAAAAAAATAACTGCTTGATTTTTGTTGTTTAGAAATTTATTTGTAAAACCCCAATAACAGTTGACTTGCATACCAGAAAAGAATTGCTGTATTTTTAATTATCTTAAACATGACGGGTTTCATTTTTTGGATTTTTTAAGGGCCACATCATAAACTAATTTCTGGTGAGAGCTGTACCATTTCCTCTCTCAAATATGTTATCCAAAAACACAAATATAGATAGTTTGTGACAATTTCTTTTGTATTTTACCAATTTGTTAATAAATATGGTAGTTATTTATAGTTGACAATTTATTTGAAAGTTTAATAAACTTTAATCAAAAACAAGTGCCTGTCAGTGTCAGACAGTAGTTTCAATAATTTAAAAGATCTTTTGCTACACATTTATTATTATTATCAGTTTTTTTTTTTTTTTTTTTTTTTTTTTTTTTTTTGCTTACTTTATAATTTTTGAAGGAATTGGCTTCCACAGGTCAGAGAAGAAATGAACCTCTTCCTAGTTGTAGTTTAAGGTGTCTTCTAATTGAGTGTACAATTTCAAGAATATGTATAAAGAAAGATTGGTCACTTTGATTTTGCAAAACAAAGTAACATGTAAAATTTAGTCTCAAAAAAAAAAATATTTCACATTTTCAGCTGTTGGAAGCAAAATACCATTTTAACTTGCTGTAAAAAAATAATTCAATGAATAAAAGCACATACAAATTACATATTTAGAAAGATTATTTTATTTTCAGCCATATAAATATTTTTAAGATTGGACCAGAAATTCATGAGAAATTGCAAGTTGAACGGACTAAGTTGCAAATTTATCAATCTCAAACAAAATCAACTGGAAATGCTATCATTACACAAGAAAATGAATGGCTTCCTTAGAAAACAAAAATACTAAATTGAAAACCATGGTATCAAGGGAAAAAAAATACTGAAATATAAATTGCCAAATTGACTAACTCTATTGAGGAATATGTTAAAACTAGCATAATACCCATAAAAAATGAAAAGATTATTTACATACATATCAGCTTTTCTGCCATGGATCAGAGAATCCATGCTTTCTGTCAGGGTCAGTGTTACTCCCTGGCTCTGTGTCTAGCATCAGTGTAATCTGTTTGTGCTCCATTTTAGTATTTGAGTGTTAAATTTACCATACTATTTAAGTAACCTAACATTTGATTCTTAGCTTCAGGTTAGACATTCAAATCAGAACAAAATTCGCTTAATGTCTCTTTTTGTTTTAGCACTGTTCATGATAAAAATGATCCATGACTTGTTTATCATTTAATAGGTTTAGTTCATTAGATTGACTCCAGAAAACTTCCAAGATGGAAGCCGGATTTGCTTGTTCTTTAATGGTATATAAAATATAAGTTCAGTAACACTCCTTGAAAAGAAATTTAATGAACTGATTGATAGATATTTAACTAGCGTATCAACCACCATGGGTCATTAATGTCAAAATGGTTGGTTGGTTGATGTTGTTCAATGGCATGACAACCTCCATGGGCCACTCAATGCTGAAATCCAAATATTTTGTGCACAACTTTATGGATTTAACTACAGATGGTTTGTACACAATTTTATACTTTCATCGTAAACATATATAATTTTTTTTTTTTTTTTTTTTAGAGATATAGTTTATAGATAATAAGATGTATTGTGCCTTCTACTATAAGTGTAGGCCTACTTCTTTCAGGTGGCCTATTATTTGAGAAACCGGTACATTTTTTAAACGCATGGTAAGAAAATGTATCTGTAATTTAAGTAGAAAGAAGTATTTATTATATTTATTTACTCTCAAGATTAGTACAAGACAAAAAAAATTAAATATCACTATTATCAACATTTGATTTAATATTCTTTATAGAAAATTTATTTATTTACTTTTTCCAGCTCGCAAAGAAACAGCTCGTGAAAAAATGTTGAAAGAAGAAGAAAAGATTCTGGAAAGTGACAATGAAAAAAAAAGGTAAGTTTGTGCACAAAGCCTTATTTTTATTTATTTATTTGCTGAAATGTTCACCCATTACAAAGCTCGAGCCACTCAAGATGTAAGGTTATGTAATGAGGTTTTTGTATGACTGTAAAAAGAGGAAGTAAGTGCAGATTGTGAGGATATGTAAAATAGATAACAACTGACTTAAAGAGGTTAAGAATGGCATGATCAGGGAAGCATACTCTTTGGAGTATGTTCTACAAAGTAGCAGTTCTTTGGGAAAATCAGTTGGTTGAACTTCCTTCTTAACAGTGGAATATGAAAGGAATAATGATGCCTCAACCCTATGTTACATGGCAGGTACTTGCTGTAAAATTGCTTTTGCTATATGGGAATGCGTAAAACACTAATCTAAATAGCCTAAATATTTATAAATCGTTGGACACTATTGACAAATGGGGTAATATGTCTGTCAGAGTAGTCCACCACTAGCAGTGGTTTACCTACTTCACTAACATTGGTGAGTACCATCTCATATTTTGTTGATATTATAAAAGATTACAAATTTCATTTTCAACCTCCATTTTGGTTGTTCCTCATTCAGTAAACATTTCTAGGTTACAACAGCTTTGAACCTTTTTATATATGGCAAAATGTAAAATTGCTTTGAACCTTTTTACCTAAGGCAATGTGTAAAATTGCTTTGAAGATATCTGGTAATGGGATGTAAAACAGGGAGAAGTGGATTCATGCCTTTCCCAAATGAACATAATTTTGACTGGAATTCTCTACTGAATTTGACAATTCTGTTTTCTTTGCTGAAAGTCATTATCCCTGCACGCAATTCTTAAGATCCTTAAACTACAATGAGAAATATACAGAAAGTGGAAAATATTCAACCTTAAAAGTTTCAAATTTGAAACATGTATGTAATTTATTCCAGGAAATATCAGAAGTTGGAAGTGAATTTAAGATCAATAAAGAAACTTTGTTATAAGAGAACTTTCATCTGTGATGATCCCAATATGTACTGAGCTGAGCTTAAGAGATACCTAAATAGATTTGCACTCTGTGTCACAACTGAGTGTCAGATGAGCCAGTGCAGTCAAACGTTAACCTGAAAGGTAGCCACATAGTCACCAGGTGCTAAATTTTGCCTCACTGGATGTCAGTAGCTGACCCCAACATAAACAAGTGATCACATGTGGGTCAAACAGATAACAGGATGTTATATAAATGCCCTATTTGAAAGGGAATAGACAGTCTCTCTCATATCCTTGAGAGAAGAAAGTCACTAAAGCCACACACATTCATGCTGATATTATCAAAATTTGGAGATGAATAAACAATAATTTTACATTTTGAGGGATTCAGTCTTGTGTACTTAGTCTTTGCAATGAAACAAGAATGTCTAAATTCTGCTGATAGTTGTATGGACCCTGAAGTCTTTTACAAAAAGGGATAGCTATGAAAAATGTTTCTATTTTAGATGATAATGGCTGAAGAAATTAATGTTAAAGAAAAGCTTACAAATTTAATAATAATATTAAATCTGGAATTTTTTATATGCTCAAAATAAAAGTTAGATTTTTGCGAAAGATGGTACTTCCTCGACTAATCGGACACCTTGGAACACAGGTTGAAAAAACTATGGCAAGAGATTGATTCTTACCTTTCCCAAGGGTATTTGCGCAAAAGAGAATGTAATGAACTTGGCTGAAATTCAGGCTCAACTTACTAATTTCTCTTTTCCAAACCATTAACCATTACACCAGCTTCACATAGGTAGGATATCTGGACAGATCTGACTCTTTTTCTTTGTTTGGCAACCAGTTCAGGAGAAGGGTAAGTATAAGTTCAAACAACTAGTTCAGGCAGTTGGATGGCAACTTGGCAGCTCTTTGAGGCGTTTCCACAATGTAACTTCCTTGACTAATCGGACACCTTGGAACACAGGTTTAAAAAAATTGTTTGGATTAATCAAAATTCCAGATAACTGAACACCTCAATTGTTTTTAAAAAAATGAAGAATAAAGTAACTTTCTGAAAGAAATTTATATCATCAAGTAACATTTTCAAACTGTGTTCAAGGTTTTGTCCAGTTTATGAAAAATGCATCAATTTTGGTTTGTTTCAAGCTGGCCTTGCATTATTTCTGTCACTAATTCTTAAAGCTAGATTAAGGTAGATGTATTTGTAATGGTAGCTCCTGGTTGCAAGTACAACATTTGTCAAACATAATCATTACTTCAGTGTTTGAAATTGAAATTTTGAATGTCGAGTATAGTTTTCTACATTCTCAAAATGCTTGTCTGAGATGAAATATTAGAATGGCTTTAGTTCAGATAATTGAAAACTGTTCAGATGATTTCAGTTTTTCTCTTTGTTCCATATCCAGATAATTGAAGTCCAGACAACTGAAGTAGTACGGTAATAATAAATTTGTAAAGGATTGTTATTTTGCCCCACACTTAAACCCTCCTCCTCTCTTTTTAGCTTTGATGGGTGTGGCAGAATTGGCCAGAGGCATTCAGTATGAAGATCCTATAAGGACTGGGTAAGTGCAGTGCAGCAAACATACTACTGTATTCATTTTTATTTTGTTTTGGATTAATACTAACCAGAAGCAATGTGAAGAGGTCTAGATGGTTTAATGGTTAACAGCAGAAAAAAATGGAATTGGCAGGCCGAGTTCAAATTCCAGCTGAGGTAGTTTATATTCGCTTAATGCTAATACACCTGAGAAAAGCATGAATCCATCTCTTTTTCCCCTGAACTATAGGTAAAAAGAAATTTTTTTTTTATTCGATCTCAGTTGAGATCAGAGGTCACAATCCTGCACCACAGTTAATTGACAACTCCATAACTTTTTCAATGGCCTTATAGTATGCCAGAGCTACATGTAGTTTTAAGTTCAGAGTTGACTTTCTCCTAGACTAGTTACCAACTGTGGCTAGTCTTGGGTATGATGCTAAACTATATTTGGCAGTAAGGCTTCTGATCAGGCAATTGGAGGTTTTGAGAAGCATGGAACCACCCCTTAATTGCTGTTGTTCCCAGGTTCACCCTGACCCAGGATGGTAGCACCTGTTAGGGTCCCAGCTCTGGGTAAATAGTGAGCCCCCAAAAAAAAACATTATGAAAGTATAAAAATACATTTTTATAATGAAGATGCCTGCAAACATTTTTATATAAAAAAAAAAAGTTACCAACAATACATATTTATAATAAAATTACCAACAATACATTTTTAAAGCAATATGAGCAGCCATGCATTTTATAGTAGAATTACCAACAATACATTTATAGCAAAATGGCCAGCAATACATTTTATCTGTCGTTGAATCCTATTCAAAATATTTACATTTCATCATTAAATAACCCATAAAGGTTGATATGCTGTTTAAAACAACTAGTTCAGGCAGTTGGATAACAACTTTGACTTGGCAGCTCTTTGAGGCATTTCCACAAGGTAACTTCCTTGACTAATCGGACACCTTGGAACACAGTTTTTCTATTTGTTCCATATCCAGATGACTGAAGTCCGGACAACTAAATTAGTACGGTAATTTAAATTTATAAAAAAATTGTTATTTTGTCCCACACTTAAACTCCTCCTCCTCTCTTTTTAATCGTGTTCAAAATATTTACATTTCAACATTAAATAACCCATAAAAGGTTGATATGCTGTTGAACAAAAATCAACTAATCATGGCTAAAAAAGTCCAGTCGGTCGTGCTTTTGGTCTCCTAACTTTATAACAAAGAAAATTTGATTCTTACCTTTTCCAAGGGTATTTGTGCAAAGAGGATGTAATGAACTTGACTGAAATTCAGGCTCAACTTACTAATTTCTCTTTTCCAAACCATTAACCATTACACCAGCTTCGTGTACGTAGAATATTTGAACAGATTTTTTTTTTTTGGCAACCAGTTCAGGAGAAGGGCAAATATGAGTTTAAAACAACTAGTTAAGGCAGTTGGATGACAACTTTAACTTGGCAGCTCTTGAAGGCATTTCCATAATATACAACAGACAAAAATCTGGTGATGCTTCAATGAATTCAGCAAATAAACACACAAAAAGAATTATCTCCCTATGACATTAGTGGATAAGCTGTTGTTCCCAGTTTCACTCTGACCCAGGGTGGTAGGACCTGTTAGGATCCCAGGTATGGGCAAGCAGTAAACCCCCAAACAAAAACAAAATACTATGAAAGTATAAAAATACGTTTTGTAGTAAAATTACCAGCAATACCTATTTACAGCAAAATTACCAGCAATATATTTTTATAGCAAAATGACCAACAATACATTTTATCTGTAGTTGAAGGTATGCAATTGTGTTCAAAATATATGTAGTTGAAGCCATAAAATCATGTTCAAAATATTTAGATTTTGGCATTAAATAACCCATAGAGGTTGATGTGCCACTAAACAAAATCAAGCAAACAACAAACATGAAATAACTCTTTCATGACTTTAATTCATACAATTTCTTAAATCAAACTGTATTCCAAAATATAACTTCAACAAAACTACAACATAAAACACTCATATCGCCACCTCTAGTAATCATGTTCACACAAATATGTATATGCACAAAAGCTGAGTATCATCTACCATGTATTCAGTTGTGAAAGCAGAATAACATCTATCATATTATTATTATTTGAAAACTCAAGAAAATTAAATTTTGACATTAGATGACCCATAAGGAATTGATATGCCATTGAACAAACAAACCCATGTATATGTGTATGTGCACACGTGCGCACACAGAACCATAGTTAACTGGATTTTGTGTTAAGTGATTATGATCATTAAGATTTTTTATTATATCAAATTAGTGGAGGTACCTATATGAATATGTAGCTGTATATTTTAGATTTTATTTTGTTTTCATTCCAAGAGTCATTTTCTATTATTGAACTCCTTTGTATTTTTTCTGTTGCTGCAATGTATTTTTGAGAACAATTAAGATTTACAGTGGGAGGAAATGAAGTGGCTCTAAAATGGGGCTTTGATTTACAACATATATATAATGCAAAACTGAACCCTGACTTGATGTTCAAATTTATGCAATTGTGCATGACTTTAAAAAGTAGAAGCTTGAAAATATTAATTTAAGTAATTTTTTGGTAGGACAAAAACAGAGTATGAAGAATTGGAAATATGTTGAAAATTTCTTTAGAAAAAATTTAAGTCTTCTCAAGTAGTCAACTATTTGGTCAGTTCTTATCAAAGGGGATCATTGGCAGATATAAGGAATGTCAAACACTATTACAAATAATACATTATAATTTCTTTTTTTTTTCTTTTTACAATGAGAGTAAACATAGGCCTTGTTGGACAAAATAGATAGATAATTTATGTAATACCTGAAAGTTTCTATGAAAGCAACACGTTGAAACAATCACATTTTCAAAGGATTATTTTAGAATTTTGAGTGCTGCACTTCACCTGAAGAATTTGGAATCTGTCTTAATTTCAAGATAACAATCTTCTCTCTGTAAATAAAAAGACTTTGTATTCAATGAAATGTTCAGGAATTAGATGAATTGGCTAATCACTTGACTATTTCATCCAGCATTGTTATTTTTTTCCACTCCCATTCGCAAATTTAAAAATAGGAAAAAGTGATGAAAATCATTTATGACTTTTCTATAACGTTTTTATTTGTAATAAAGTTTTTAACATTTGATATTCCTTATATCTGTTAATGATTGTCTTTAATAAGAGCTGATAAAAAAAGTAAACTGTTTAAGAGGACTTGATTTATTTATTTATTCTTTTAAAGCTGTCAACATCTTTGCTTCTTTATGCTCTATTAATTTACATTTTCTTCTTTTTATCCAAAATAATAACTCAGGGTTAGCATATTTGTAACATGACAAATTGAATTATGAGGGTTTTTTTTTTTTTAGTATGTGTTATATGCTAGTGAAAATGGACATGCTACTTAGATAAATAAAAACTCTTACTAAATAAGAGTTCATTTTAACATCATACCAACATTGTAAATAGAATCTTCCTGCAAGTTAATTTTCAAATGAAACAAAAGTCATATTTGAACAAAGTAGATAAAAATACATTGAATCTTAATTTTAATCAACATTCTACATGAATACAATTAAAAGGAAGGCATGTTCCCATTTTTATCATCACTTTTTTATGGTAGCTATTATTATTATTATGTAATACTCTTCATCTTTTATTCTCACATATACACTCTTATTAGCACACTAATAAAACAAAGTGAAAAAACAGTTTATCAACACACCCCCTTATAATTAGCGTCATCTATTTGGTAAAAAGACAAAAAAGAAAAGGATGGGACAGAGGCAATAAAAATTATTTTGCACTGTGACCAAAGAATTATGATTCTCATACTAAAGTCATTAACTTCCATTGGATTTGAATTTTGTAAATTAAAAAAAAAAAAGACTATTCAGTAACAAGCACTGATAAATGCTACCACAGCAAAAACCCATAAAGGTTGATATGCTGAAAAAAAGTTTGTAATTTCCAAAACCTTTAGTGTGCTTCCACATGTCAACTCCATGAAAATCATAAACAATATACACTGAATATCTTGGTCATAGTGTATTTACAAAAAGTACAATATGAATAAAAACAAAATGAAAACATCATAATGATGCATTCTGTTCCCTGAGAGGATTTTATCCAAGATAAATGTTTTGCCCTTGATAATGTCAGCTATAAATTTCTTTGTCTTTATATATATATATATATATATATATATATATATATATATATAATCTATTGTGTATGTGCATATATATATTGTGTGTGTGTGTATATATATATATATATATATATATATATGAATATATATACATACTAGCAGTAAACCAGTGTTGCCGGGGATATAACAGTAAGAAATAGATCAGTATCCCCATCATAAAGACTGAAAAATAAAATTGACAAAATTATTGTTTAAGGTTGAGCGGACCCATGTCTTAATTATTTTTTTTTTTTTTTACGAATTGGTCAAACCCAAACTCAAACAAAACATTATTTTTCAATGTTTGAGTCTCTACTGATTAATTAAATTTTATTATAAACAATTGTCTTGTAAATGGAATTTTTTTAAAGCATTCTGAATATAAAAAATAAAGAAAAAAGTGTGCAGACAATAAGAAACACTACATGAAAAAAAGTGAAGTTTTGTTGAAATCGGTTGAAAAATGTAGGTAGCCTTTCTGTAATCTTTTAGTTTTTACAATTTATGATTTTTACTTATTGAATCACGGTAAAAAAAATTGCATATTTTGCTTGTGGTGATTCATAATTAAATTCTGATTTGAATATTTTCCACTCGTTTCTAATACAAAAAAATATTAACTATTTGGGTTTATTAATTATGATCTAATAAAATCTTATTCATTTAGTAGCCTTTCTATAATAATAATCTTTTACAATTTATGATTTTTTACTTATTGAATACAGTAAAAAATTGGACACCATGTTGTATTTAAAGTAGTTTCCGTTCGGTTATTATTTTTAGTTGGGGCGT